ACGTATCTGCACCGTCTATTGCTGCTTCAGGAAACGCGACGGGCAGCGTTGAAGCGGTTGATGTTCGTTCCTCTCATCATCCCGAATCATGCTGACACGGCTAGTTGCGCGCCCCACGATCGTCATGATCTACAGCAGAGGTTCGTTATAACGATTGGGAATCGGGTTTGGGAGGCGGCGGCGACCATTGCGGGGCCGGATTGGATCACGGGTGTTTTTGAGGGGCTCGCTAGAGATGTGAGGTGTGGAGCTTGTAGGTGGAATTTAAGGGAGAGGAAGGAAGCAGTATTGAGGGAATGGAACGATGTGAAATCGACGATTTAGAATAGACCGCACTTAACCGGGTATATGAGGAGAATATTGGTCGCAAAGACCGTACCAGCGCTGGAGGAACCATCTTGCCCCCCCCCCCCCGCTCATAGCATTTGCAACTGAGAAGCTCCAGAGATGTATGATAACGGAAGTAGCTTTCCATTCTATGGACTATCTCGTCGTTGAGCTTTCGAAGCTGCAAGATGGTGCAAAAGAAAATTAAACGTACTGCCAGTGCATAGAGAGATATATGTATCTGACGTTCCCGTCTCGAGTTGTAACCGAACAACATCTCGCTGAGATATTACGCCAGTAGAGACAAACCTGTTCGAGCCAACGTCACCTTGCCGACTTGAAGCGTGAACTTCAATGGCGCAAATTAGAACTTGTGGTTGTGGTTTAAAAACGGTTATAGTATGAGTGAGAACGATCATCTCATAGCGCGCTGGGTACACAGGACGGGGGCCTTGCTCGTTTTTTTTTTTGCTAACAGAACGTCATATATATGCTGCAACCCCCAGAGAGAGGAGGGATCGAGATTCGAGTAGATTCTCCGATCCATTTCCCGTTAGTGAGGTCGAGTCGGAGACTAAGTAGTACTAGTTTGGAGTGAGAACATCCAAGTTGAACGTTGATTCAATCTAGGCGCCAGCTCCAATTACCACCAGCGCAATAACTTTTACTGTAGATGGAATGGGCCAAGAATCTGTTATGTATTATGTACAGAGTCGTGTGAATCTTTTTATAACCCGTTCCCACACTTCGGTTATTTCTCTCACGTTATGTATTACTTACTCTCGCGTTATTTGCACCAACCACCTTTTTTTCGTCACCATTCTTACGTGTTCCTTATTCACTGCCTGTTCCTATTCTTTCGCTCCTCTTATCTCCAATTCCCATCGCACCATCTTTTGTTCCCCACTCAACTTTCGTCATTCATCCAAATCGGGTCCTGTAAACGTATGTCTCCCCGGCCCCTTTGCACGAACAGGGAGGGTCACGTACGCGTTGGGATGGCGTGCATGTCGCTTGCGCAGACACCCTTGTTCCAATATCCTCCACTGTCCGGAAAAATTCGTCCATGCAGTACCTTCTCCATCTGTTGTCGCTGGGCTATGAAAGAAACGCTCCAAATAAGCTTTTCGTTCCACTTCCTCTCTGGCCTCTCCATTCCTCAATGCTTCGGACTCCCACTCCCCAGATGCTCCACCGATATCTCTTTTCATGGTCTCCTCACCCATACGATTGTCCTTATCTGCGCACCCTTGCACTCATATCTATGATGAAGATTGGATGCTGCGTACGTGGCCCTCCGGATGTTCCTCGAAACAATAGAGTGCTTCCACTCCATCGTTCCTCTGCTCCTTTCTAATCCTCTAAGGTTTCTATAAGGCAAGGGGACACTCTACTTTAGTAGAGGCTACGTATGGTGTCCTTGGCTTTGTGTTGTTGTTTCTCTTTCGACACCTTTTGTGCGACATGTGACGAACTTATGATCTGCCAAAAGCAAAGCACTGCGCAAACATGCTTTCTATCAGAGCGCTCTAGATAGTAATGATCAGTGATCAGAATTCTCGCCTGGCGGTTCTCTTCCAATGGATGCTGATCCACTATCCCGGGTCGATCATCAGCTATTCAGCAGCCCCTTCTGGTATCCCCCCCCCCAATACATGAAACCAGCCCTCATGACAGGTTTCGCATTCACCTGTTCCTTCTTGGCTTTACCACAAGGGCTCCTCTTCGAACTGCCAACGCAGCCCAACCCTGAGCGTGTATGCAACATTCAGATCCATCAATTCACTCACAACACACCCGTGCAACCCCTGGATGTGGACAACTCGAATTTTTTTTATTAATGACGTCTCGAAATAACGTTTAGTATTCAGCACTATGTTCTTACGAAAAAGGGCTGGTTATATTCCCTTTTTGAGCCGGGGTGGCCAGGCAGGCACTTGCTCGTGAGAGTCACAACAAATACCTGCGAAGGTCCTAACGAGTTTGGGCCAAAATAGTGTTGGGATTGGGGATCAACCGAATGTATTTATATTGTCGCTCTTATCCAAATCACCACTAACTCGCGGGCCTGTCGTGACATAGCGTGGACTTACATCGCACGTAACGAGCAGGAGTTGGTTGTCGTACTTCAAGGCTTTGCTCACTGACGAGGGTGCTTCAACTATCAAAAGCGCATTGGTATTACTTAAGTTGAAACATCGCGGTGCTAACTTGAAACTCATTATGAACCCCTCCTCATCGGGTATTTCGAGGCCCTGGAAAACGGTACATATATATCTGGAATCCGTCAGCGTGATGCTGCTGACCTATCTGATCAGAATCTTCCGTTTTGGTCCTATCACTTGCCTCGCGTGATCCGCTCAGACCAAGACTGGCCATGTTATTTGATTTCTACATCCTCCAATGTATTTATATCGACACCATAGAGAACAGTATCAATAGCATGCCAATAATTTGTTGCAAAACCATCGAGACTAGTAAACGTGATTGTTCATCCGCGCACATGTACAGCATAACCAGATCCAAACCGAACAATCCACATATCATATATCTAGCCTTTATACTTGTACTATCACATCAGGACAGATAGCTCTCGCGACCTAGCTGGCACGCTGCCACAACAATTATAATTCTCCCTTGACGAGGCATTTTTCTTTGTTCATATTCGAAGACGCAAAAAAAGTTAAAGGAGTATTCTCAGATCCCCGGGGTCTCACTGAAGTGTGCATGAATCGATTTACCAGGAACAATGTGCGCCAGGGTTTGTCGATAGGCTTCATTACCTCCATCTGCTTTGGAAGTACGTAAACATCTTCAAGCACTATTTCTAGCAATGGTGCCAGTGCCAGACCTACCATGTGATTACAGAACAGGACCCAGAGGAAGTTCCAACAGCGCATCTTAATGACATCCGCTGTAAGTAATTGTTCATATGTGGAAGCGCAACTCGTTCTGGCCCCGACGTTCCGCTGACATATGGACGTTTCGTAGGGTTTGTACACTTTGGGGGGACACGCACCTGCATCGATGCCCAGTCTGGTTCCGGTTTCCACAGCGTTCCATCTTCGACGCACTTACCCTCCTCCGTATAACTACCCTCCTGATATAGTGCTCAAAGCCATGGACGGTGTTTTATTCTATGTTCATAGGCATCTCCTTGAATACAAGTCTGACAATGGGTTCGGTGGGATCTTCGCAGGCGATATGAACACAGGCCCCCACGATTCACTGCCGATATACATGATCGCTGAAGCTTCCACCGTCGTCAATTGCATGTTACATATTCTTTACGTAGGTGGTCATTATTCCAGCCGGGCCTAGCCCGTTCGCTGATGTCCCTCTACTACAGAAAATATCTTCCCGCCTCTATGCACCCGATCTTCCTACCATTTCCGAAACATTCAGAGCCTTGAGAGGATATGGATGCTCACTATCTGAGAACATTCCGCAGGGATCAGAGATATTCACGGATCTCATCGCACATGTGGCGGATCCGAACTCTGATGCCCTCGAAGTGTTCAAAATTGCGGCCTCCAACTCGTTTGAGGAGCTCGCGGTACCATCTTCATTCTACGCCCTCCGCACGCCAATTCCTTCCATCGACGAGGCAACGGCCGTAGCTATCGGCCCAACATACATGCTCCGTCTCTCTAAGCTTCACGACAACAGGCTACTCGCGCTAAAGAATCTCCTACAGGAACTTCCTGATATACATGAGGACATGCCAGCATGCGATTCAGTAAAGCAGCGTAGATTGAGGACGTCATACTACCTCTTGGGTGCCCAACTTGCGTGCCGCGGCGAGCCGTTCATCACTGGCGCTTGGCTTGGTGCATGTTATGAGAAGCTGATACAAGAGGTGGGGTGCAATACATGCAAGGGAAAAATAAGGGACCAGGTCCGAAACATAGTTGAGAAATGGGAGCAAGTTGAGAAGACTATCTGAGGCGAATGAGCATTTCCCTCGAACGTGGGTGCTTTTATTTCCTCGAACTTCTGATGTTCTTATCTCCACTTTGACCATTTACTTTTTTCACAGGTATTCTTCATCCCCCAGGGTACAAATATCTCTCCACAATCCATAGGCCAAACCTTGTGCTGGTGCTTGCAACCTCTAGCCTCCAAACCCGGAAATTACTGCGCGCTTGGCGCATCGCACTCCAGCTCGATTAATTCCTCATCATGAGTGGCGTCCCGGTCTCATTGGTAATATAGGTGCAATGTACAGTGATGCGTCGTTCCTCCCAACGGGCCACATGGATTTATTGCGTTCCTGATCACCCATTCACTGCAACTCCCCCCATTTGAATTCGGCCAGGGCCACCCCCACACACGGGAACAGCACAACTTTTATGACGTAGTAAGTATGCATAATCATTAGAGTGGGGCGATATTGTTTTCTACAACTCGGCGCAATAGTAAACAAGGTCAGAATGCTAAGAGTGTGATAAGCAAAGGCGCAGTGACTTGAATTCCATTTTCCAGCGTCGAAACCATGGGCATCCCCAAGCTACAAGGAGAGGTGGAGCATGAGCGACTTTAGCCAGTGTCATCTTAATGAGTAAGTGCTGTATCAGTAGCAACTAGTAAATCCCTTTGGTCTGGAAAAGGTCAATCAATTTCATTTGACTGCTGAGATTAAAAACCAGACTGTGAACTATATGTGAACTATATTAGAACGTTACGTTTTCGTGTCGCATTTCTTCCGGTCCTCCTTGAGGGTACTGCAGCTCATCATGTGAATGTGCGGGCTCGCGGGTGTCCCAAATCTGAGAAGGGTCTCGGGGCTCAGTGCAGCGGCCCACTGCAGCGGGAGTCCTCGAACGGTATTGAGCCTCCATCCATTGTCGGAATCCCTTTTCCAACGTATGATGGGAGGCCGTCATGTACTCTCGGAACGCTGTGGCCGACAGTGAGAGCTCGCTCCCTCCGTCGACATGTGCCGTACTGCATCAGATCAAGAGCCATTACATGTGTAAAGGCATGCAAGGACCCGCTATGAGTTGGACCTATAACTCCAGCCCTTACCGTCGAGTTTCCCGTCACCACCACTTCATCCTTGACATGGTTTAATCCCGACCTCGTCATAAACATGCCAGTTTTGCCAACCTTCAATCCGTTCCGTGCTTTATTGTCAATAACGAAAGTACCACCCGTTCGGACTCGCTCCTAGTTTTGTCTGCCTCAGTGGGGATAAGGTCGATGGCTCCTCCCGGTGTAAACCTAGGCAACGACTCTGTAGCTGGCTAGTGATAACTTTGGTGTTGCTCAGATCCGCATCGGCAGCGTTCCGCTGCACAATCGTTGCTTCAGTCTAGGTAGAGCGCACTCGGAGTTGGTTGCGCATCTCAACCCCCTTGCTACGCTTGAGAGTGAGCTCTCTGCCTAGGGGTGGCCGTGCTGCCTGCCCAAACAGCTCAAACGGTACACTAACCGACCACGTTGATTGAACAAACCCACTCCCTGGTGAACAAGGCAAGCATCGTCCAACTCACCCCCGACGATGCTAATGTCCAGGTTCTCCTCGCCTTGATAGCCCCTGTGCGAAGGTACAGCAGAACCACCGAATGGGCGGAATAGGCCCTCGGCATTTAGTTTCTTATCGTCCAAGTGTTCGTCGTGATAGGCAGAGTTATGATGTGCACTGAAATGCACGGATCCACCTAACGAGATGCTTAAAGCGCCTTCTGACATTACCGCATCAAAATTCCAGTAAATAAGGACAACAGCACACACATGCGATTGGTCCATTCCGGCATTGCTTAGTAGAGTACGAACCCGAGCCACCTCTAAGTCATGACATCGCATGCAACACACAATTGTTTGGTCCCTAAATAACGAGGACTCTTCTGTCTTATTTGCTAATAGCAATGGCCTGCCCAGCGTTCGAGTCAGCCTAACGTCACTTGTACAAGGTGTGATTGAGGAGAGAGGGGTCCCACATTCCCAAGAAGCTGGCCGATATGGTCACGCTGATTGTGCTGACTTCAGCAGATGGGCAGCCATGGGGAGATCCTTATACACGCCCCCGGTTATATTCGATCCTCCAGGCGAGTATGCATACGATCCCGTGTGATCGTGTGATGAACATACCACACAAGCGCGACATTTATACCCTAGGGCGGGCACGATGAAGATTGGTAGGGCGAATGAAGTGGGATGGAAGATTCTGTTATGAGTTGTGAATCTCTTTTTCCACCTCTTTCACATTATTGAGGAGAGTTCAATTGCCCTCCCCATGATTCCACAGATCAAGGGCCATGAGTCCCACGTACGGGCGCGCTCTTTGCTATCCTTTTCTTGCTCGCGCACGGTGTAGCACTCGGAGATTGCTTGCTTACGTAAGCAAGCTTCAGGCCCTCGGCATTCCCCACAGTACTAGTCACCTGCCTGAGCGTGGCGGGCGACATCCTGAGGCCAAAGTTGCGGCCATTTGACTGGTGCTATACTATCAGGGCCACTGTTGTCATACTTACATAGAAGTTCGAGAGGGAGTGGATGGCTCCTATGGGCCATTTACCAGACGGACGGCATTTCCGGTGAACGGGCAGACGACTAAAACCCGTTCATTGCTTTACAACCATATCTCGCATCATCAACGCAACACCTAGGCCTGCCTGTCCTAGGCGATGTTCTTCGTCCCTCTGCGGCAGAGGGCATTTTAGAAGCAGGAATATCTACCTCGACGTTTTCCTTGTCAAATCAAGAGACTTGGAGAGAGCAAGTCCGCTGCTGATCTGATGCGATGCGCGAAGGAAGTTTGGTGTTTTACTCTCTACAGCACACATTTTTGTTATCATTGTTTTCTCCTGATCGAGGGGGAGAGATCGTACGTCGTTACCAAGAATCTGAAGTGCATCTATATCTATAAAGGGGCACTTAAGAACGGAAGATGAACTTGTTCTGTTTGAAGGCTGAGTCTGTCGATTCGTTTTGTATATGTTATTGGTATGACCGTCAATCGCAGAAAATGCTGTTTTACCTCACAGGTCTGGGACCGGGTCGCCATCAGCGCATTCCAAATTTCGATCAACCATTTCTGGCTATGGTATGATGCTCAAGTCTTGCCTGGTCTGACATATGAGCCTGCATGGTCTGTTCTGTTATCTATCAAGTATCAATAATAAGCGCTGTACTAATTGTGCCATGGGCCGCCGGTGCTATCCCTGGTCTTGATTATTGGCACTCGAGCTCGGAGGGGAAGGGAGAAATTCCATCTGACAGATGGAAATATGAAAAATTGATATCGGCGGTATCTCACATCAATACGACGTTATGTAAAAATTAATCAAGACAATTGTACGGGCGTCGTTAGCCACGGTGATTTCCTTCATGTCCATAAGCTATCATGTACGTCTCATTGACGGGAACGAGGTGTTACTGGGACAAGGGATATGGTCTGAGCGTTCATGAGATTTCCGCGCGTTGCATCCTAGCTTTCTCTATGAACTGGGGATACATATCGGGCTGGAGGCTACAATTTACATCGATATCGATACGTCCTCGACTTAAGCTTCCCAATCAATAGGGCCGACTGCAACGTATTTATGGGTGGAAACCAAGAAGGCGTTATTCGCCTGAAGCGTGGGAGTATTCGCGGCGTGCAGTCCATGCCACCCTTGTACTTATGGGTTTAGGTGACTGACCATTCTGAACCGGCGGATCATTGCCATTTCACTTCAGGTTGGACACCGTAGTTTAAGCAATGGATTTGGTCATTGAGAGGACAGAGGAATAGCGGGGATCGAAGATAGGGAAATGGTTAGTAACATCATAGGAGCACAAGATCAGGGGCGTGTGTAAAAGCTGGGCATAGATACAAGATATAATGGTACTGATTAGACGAAGAACGAAGTTTCCCCAATTTTGGGGTAAATCATCTATGATGAGGTAAATTTTGGCGTATCAGAGTAAAGCAAAATGACAACCCAATCCAAGGGTATACAATCTCGAAGGGAGATACTAGGTGTTTGTCAGCTCGTCAAGAGCATGGGCATCGTTGCTCCCATTCTGTCTACAACAATGATCGACTTGTAACGTTCGGCCCGCCGTCCGTCCGACCGTACCATATTCCTCATGGACATGTAAGCTGAACCAAGCAATTTCCGCTAGTGGGTGGTGTTGTCCTCCGTCGCGCATACATCCAGGGGGGACGACGGGGGAGGCACAGAAAGGCAGCGGCTCGGTGACGTGCGCAATCGGTTACATAACGTTAGGGCTGGCACGGACTCCAGATAGTGGGGCGTGAAAGAATCTTCTAATACTCCTTCAGAGCATGTTTGCGATGAGGATGGGGATCCACGTCGGGAGGTATGGAAGTGGGTATCCAACGAGGCATGCCGGAGAAATGGATTTCGAGTGTGTGAACGTGAGATTGGGGAGGGCACTGCAGCATGAGTGACAAAGAGCAGGTGTTACAAGTCAGAGAAGGCGTTTGTATAGGTGAAAAGGGCAACTTACTGAGGTGGTGGTGTCCGAACGAAAGAGAACTTGACGGTTCATTGTGAGAGTAATGCTTGAGGTTGAAAACGCTGCTGTCGATTGTGAGATGCTTACGGCGGCGGCGATCATGCGAGTGCTGGTGGCGGTGTCCATCGGCGGGATCGAAATGACCGCTCGGGTCACCTGTCGCAGACGTCGCCGAGCGCTTTGCATTGGGGGCATGGTGAGCGTGAGTATGGTGTGGTTGGCGATATGGATGGGGTCTTGTGCTTGCGCGAGACGATCCTTCAGAGGTGGAGCATGAGCCGGAGTCACTGGACGTTGTGGTCGAGTGGGATCTGCGACCTTGCCTCAACAAAGGATTGGGTCGAAGAATCCCCAAGAACTCTTCCAAAGCCTCATCGCGCAAGCCAACGAAGGCTTCACTATTCCAGTGGGGCGAACGCGCATCCGTCTTAGCAACACCGACGCTTTTCGGAGATGGAAGCACACACCTGCCGGGTTTCTCGTGTTGGACTGGATCTGAGGAACGTGGTAAAGGTTCCTCAAGCGATATGGCAGCAACTGCTTCTGTCAGGGTTGGGGTATGTTTGACGATGACTGGTGCTGCGGCAACGAGATACGGCCTGACCGGTATCGGTGCAGCAATCATGGTTCCGCTTGTCGCTCGCGTGCGTTGTGACTAATGTTCAGGGGTGAGGACGGCTCGATGCCGTAAATGAAAATCCCGGAGTTGTTTCCGAAGATTTCGGTGCGTCGGCGAAAATAAACAATAACAGTCGTTCCTCGCCTCCGTCACGTCCGTAACTCATGTCCACAGTGTTCAGACCAGTTGTCAAGCGTACTTACGGACGTTCGGCAGTGACTACGCGTGCCATTCCATCCTCTCCTCGCTCGGAGTACTCATCTGATCCGCTGGAGGCATTGTTATCGCCACCTAAGAAACGTAAACGCGACGCGTCGCAGTTCACTGCACTCTTCACCAGGACCAACACTATCACTCAGCCACCCGCAAAGAAGCCCAAAACACAATCCAATCCATCTTCAACGCGTTATAACCCTAACAGCAATGTCGCAACGAAAAAGATACCAAAGCTTAAACAGCTCCATTTGACACTCGCCCAGACATCCGTTCGTCAATGCAACTCATGTGGACTATCGTACACTCATGGTGCACCAGAGGACGAAGATCTTCATCGAAAGTATTGCGTGCGCGTATCAAAAGGATCGGAATGGGGACGGGAGGAATCGCGTGTGGAAGGCAAAGAAGTTGAGGTCATCGAAAAGGACATTCCGCTTAAGAATAATAAAATGCGAGGAAGAGTTGTAGCCTTTAGGGCGGACGCCTCTGGGAAACTTGGGTCTAAAGTGAGTATCGTAGCTATTCTACCGAACACGACCCCCGACTGACATGATACGTCCGATTGTGTCAGCTTTCTATCATCCTACAAACAGTCAACTTCACGCTCTCTGCACCGGATCTCACTCCGGATGTCCTCTCCCAATCCAAGGCCTATCTCTTTCTCGTCCCCACTCCGGGTGCACATCCCTTGCGTGAAAAGATTGTGGGGTGCCTCATCGCCCAGCGCATCGAGACAGCAATGGAAGTTGTCGATCCAGAACGCTTATTTTCGTTAACGAATGAGCAGAGTAGCGCGAAAAACACACCTTTCTCCCGGTCAGGCATAAATCTGGATAGCCTTGTTTGCGTACAGGATTCTACCGATGGGTCCCAAAGTGGGGGACTTTTCTGTTTACCCAATCCTGTACCCACGCCGCTCGGTATTCCACGCATATTTACCGCATCTTCGTATCGACACCAAGGTATTGCACAGCATCTTCTCAACGCCGCCACACGCACATCCATTCATGGCTGTGTTTTGGATCCGAGCAAGGGCCAAGTTGCCTTTAGTCAGCCGACAGGGGCTGGGAGAGGGTTGATGGAGAAGTGGGGTGGTGGGATGGTCAGAATCTACCAAGAGTAGGGAACGTTGGTGGGGTCGAGATATTTATCTTGTTAAGTATTTTTCTCCGTTGTATACCTAATTCGATTTGCAGTCCTTTTGCTTCGCATTGAGATGAAATCAGTCAGCCAGGGCTCGGATAGCTTCTCGCCGAGCGTTAATCCTTGGATCTTCCGTTCGCCTAACCAGCCAAGGGGATGACGCGGGAACCTCTTGATATTAGTCAATGCACAGGTTTCCATCTCCAGTATATGAGGCTGTGGTTTCAAATATGATCATGCCTCAGAACGTCCCCATTCGCGAGTGCATTAGGTTCTGGGCGATTACCATTACTCACACAGGTCTTGCCGCTTCACGCTTCTTCTTTTGCAGAAGAGAATTGGTAGCGAGGTGAATGAATTGAGCCTTGTTTCTCGCTAAAGTTCAATCACTCTGATGCATGCCAGGAGTACCGCAAACTGGAATGTTGTGCGTAACATACTCCCCCCAAGGGGCGACATCAAGTAAAAGAGTCTTTCAGTGGCCACCTGTGAATTCTTTGACACTATGTATGTTTGTTGGTGAAACTCTTCAACCTGGAGCCACTTTTTGAGCTACATGGGTATCGGCAAGCGGTCCCATAACCACCGAACGCGTACACCCACCGCCGCAAGTGCTCCTGGAAAGGTATATCCAGCGCAGCTTCTCAATTAGTAGGCCGCTATGGGTATCCTTTTGAGATTTTAGCCGAACCCCAAGCCAGGGACTATCCGGGCATTCGATTGCATAAATACCCACCAAGGCTCCATGGTCTTCTCAAGCGGCAATATGAATCGCTTTGGAGCCCGCAACGGGATTCATCAAGGTTGTTGGGCCTGTCGCACTCGGAAAAAGGTGAGTGTGAAGCAATGTGAAGATCGTTGCGCTTCGTTTAATCGTTCTTTCGACACTCCGGACATTGTATACGCTCCTGCCTCCCCAGAAATGCTCGCTCGACCCCTTGAATCTGGGATCTTGTGATGAGTGTAAGAGGCTTGGCATCAAATGTTATGGATTTGGAGCCAAACTAACAATGGTAGCGTATTGTGCTTGTATGCCTTCTCTTCCCATTGTTAGAAATCCCTGTTGTGGGATGACTCTTATGGGCGGTAGATCTGAACTTTGAATGTTATAATAGGACAACGAGACCCTCGCTGAATTCAAGAGGGAGATAAGGATAGCGATCATGCACACCCGCATGGCTCAACGACGAGCTCGAGGTAGTTTTCGTTATTGTGGTAAAGGAGGTGGGGGCCAGACTGACTCTGCATCACCCATAGCATCGCGCGCCACTCCGCGTGGACCCCGACCTAATGCTGACGTTCCCGGAGGTCCAACCGGCGGCGCACATGTCAATCTTTAGCAGCTCTGAAGTCATTACGCCTTATGCATGTCCAGGCACATATGACGATGCACGCCCTTCTAGTCCTGTTCGTTCATTAGGCAAGATCCCAGCCTCTACTAAAGCAGATTCGTCAATTCCCATGGAATGATCTCCGGGATAGGCTGCGCCACGTGGCACTTCACCGTGCTCTCCCCTCTCCAATAGCCCTGCTGACTGAGCGCCTACCCAACTAAATCACGACTCGTATCCTCAGGGAAGCAAGAGGTTAAAGGCGGAATGATACAGCATATCCGAGCTAGGCTTATGTTCATGGCGGGGAGACTGTTTGCGAGTAGTGAAATCAAATCTGTCAAATGTCTCAGAAATTCATTTCTTCGATCGTAACGATCGATCATATAAGCTTCAAAATCCGACGTTGATCGTTCGAAAAATAACTCGAGCGCTATTGGATCCCCCATGTGACAGGTTGGCGCACGGGCCTCCACCCCGTCTGGGCGACTCAGCATCGTCACCAACTAATTTTGCGGGCGCACGAACTGCAGCCTTACACCTGCGCACTGAACTGGTCAGCATTCTAGAAATCAGGTCTATTGTGGGACCAAGGAGACTGGACGCGCCAGATCAAATTGACTTGCAATGAGTGAGGGTGTCGAGATGATTTGAATGAGATGAGACTTCGGTCAAAGTTGTTGCCCAGATACCCATCCGAGAGAGTAGATGCCTTCCATGCTTCATGTGTCTGGCAATAGTTATTCCCCCTCTGGGGAGAAACCCGAGGCACGCACGAATGCTATCTTATCCTTTTCTCAAATCCTGCAACACCTTATCAAGGGATCATCACTCTGCTACGATGTCGAGAATATATGCAGGCTAGGTTTCCACGCCAGCGCACAGACTATCACATGAAGCCGAGCGATCCGGTCGTCAACATTGGCTGTCGCCCGCAGAAAGGGACATGTCTAATGTCCACTAGTTTCATAGGTATTGGTGGTTATCACCACACTGATCACCTATATCGAGTAAAAAGTCCAACGCGTGCCGCACGATGAAGGCAGATGAGACTCAGTAGCGGAAGTGGCTCTCAGAAACCGAGCCGGTACCCGAATCACACTCACTAGCCGCGCAGCTTTTTGTTCAGGTGACGAAATGTATTCGTTTCTCCGATATTCTCCCCGATCCAAACACGCTTCCATTGTCCTGTTAGTCAACCTCTTAGCGATCGATCTTGCGATCAGTCAGTTGGCACTTACCGCTGCACCACCGGAGATTGGTAGCTGGAAGTGTGCATCTTCCGTTGACCTCACAGAGACCTTCTAAATGGCAACGTCTTCACTACTCTGCTACTGCGCCTCACCACAACATTACCGATCTGTCACGCTTGGGATCTGGGCTATGATTGGCCATTCCTGACCCGTTGTCCACGAAGGACATGCCGGTCATCCCTACACAACAGCCGCAGGTGACAGCTCAACGCTTGTTGCCGGCTGCTCTGAGCTAGCCACCATTCCTTCGACTCATGCTCGATCATTGGCGGTTGAGAATCCTTTGCCTTGTGTCAACGCTCCTAACAGCCTAGGCAGGATCCCAGCCTCTACTAAAGTAGACCGGCAGCCACTATCAACATTCGGCATCCGACACTTCCACATTTTCGCAAATCGTTTGGAATTTCCAGGAGAAGGCTTCCTTTGTATATAACTCCAATCAACACATGGCTAATAATGTTGACCAACATTCCGAATGGGCATGCTTCTGAGGCGTCATACTTCGGATCCTTCTGAGACTTTAGGTAATATAATTTATGGTGACCGCAGCAAGCCTTCGACGTGCAGATGGCGTTCCACTCCGACGTGCGGATCAATGGACGTCAGCATGCAACTTCGTGTACTCCGCAAATGGCTCCAACCCAGACCGCGCAGTGCGCGTACGGAACGTCAGGAAGTGTCGCTAATGTACCTTGCTAGTGCATTTATTTCCTCGGAACTCTTGTCGCCTTCTGGTGATTTAATCGAGGTGGATTCGCGGGCTCTTGATTGAAGTTGTAATTCAAGAGAATGAGCATGCATGAAACTAGCCCGAGAGTGGACCCTCGGAACAGCAGCGATATACGATAGCGCAGCTTCTCGTTAGCTGTTTCGACATACCAAAAAGTTGTCTTGCAACCATGCCCCACCCTTCAAATGTATGCAATCGTGCTGCCAAAGTCCCTCAATAAATGCCTTCACGCCACACGCCACAGGGTGCGCGCGGCGAACGTGCCATCAAGCCCTATCAAGGAATGAGCCATAATTTCGTTGTATATCGCCAAATCGGGTCGGTTCTCTGGACGCATGGGTTCCGCTGCCACAAAACCCAGCTTTGTCAATCCACTTGAACAAAGAGCTCATAATGATTTTCTATATATGGATGCTCATATGATATCACCTTTGTCGGTCCCGCGCACCTCAAATTCACTGTTCCAGGTGAGCAGAGGTTTGCTCCTTGTTGTCTGCTTCAGGAAAGTGCAAGCGGAGTATTGAAACATTTGGGGTCCGCTGATATTTAAGACGAAGAGTTGGCGGCAAAACTGGTTTTCTTCAAGGCCATCCCCCTCACCTGGATAACGTCAGTTCTGCAACGCGTGTTCACTTCTGTTCCCCACCCAGTTTTACCCATGTCGGAAACTAAATTGGTATGTCCCCCCTTTTGCCTTGCTCGTGGCGAAAACAACTAATGGCTTCTGCTCTCAATGCTACCTCACGAATTTGCCTACTGCCTCGATTGCTGATCGATCACTTTCATTGGTCACTAATCACGTCCTTCTCATAGTCTTCTTGTGCGTGCCACAGCAGTTAACCTTTTTTGAGGATACTTGGAAACTGATTTGTGTGTGTGTGTGTTTTGGGTTCTCTAAATGCAGATCAAGAGGAAGGTAAGCTCCGGCTTTCCAACTCGCTCTCTCTCTCAAGTAACCTTTCTCTCCAATTAGCGTTTTCGCAAGTCTTTTATGACTGTCGTGCGAATTACATTGGTTGGTTCCAACTCGATGACGGAGAAACTCTGGATCTGCCCGAGGACTCGCTGCCGATCGAGGAGTTGCCGAGTTTGTTGCGGTCTATTCGTTATGAGATGACGGATGAAGATTGGGAATGGTTGAAGGATACGGAAAGTATCCATATCGAAGATTTTAAGACTTTGTTGGCTTACAAAGTCGGAGGGCCGGATGAGATATTGGGTTCGGCTCCACCTAGTACGTTTAGCAATAAGTTTATTCGTAGGTTTTCATCTGACGAACATTCCCGAAGAGCGCGAAACTTCGGAGGTGCCATACCATGAAAATGAGGGAACTAGTACTCCTGAAGATCCTGTCGGTGCGCGCCTCCCTTTCCCTAGATCCTGCCAGATGGTTAACCAGTGTTTTCTTCCTGTTTCCTTCCCTCACTCAGATGACTCTGAAGTAAGTTGCGTACTCTCATGATAAGAGCTCCAGCTGATGCTTATCCCTTAAGTGGTGGACCAATCCTGCTACTGCCTGGCCAGACCCTATCCCTGATTGGGGAGTTATACAGTACGCCGCCGTGGAAACCGCCCACTGAGCAACCATGGCTGCTTCCACCTTCGGCTATGGGGGGGTTCACACCGACACGCCCCCATCAACGCCTTATGCGTGGAAATGTGTCCAATAGCTTCCCCACACTGTCACGCTCAGCAGGCCCGAAATGTTTTCATCGATTGAATTTCCGAACGTCATGTGTATTATGATCTTTTGATACCGAACAAGAGGCTTGCACGGCAATGAGGTCTGGCTCGCGGGGTGAGAGGAGTCAAGGAATGATCTGCATCATACATTGGTGTTCGCGATTCACAGGTGACGGATCCGACAGGGCATTCGAAAGATCTCAGGATAACTGTAACACTGAAGTTGATCAGACAGCAAGTGAAAATACAAGTAAGAAAAAGGAAAGAAAACAAAAAAGGTTGACCCGCAAATACAGCTCTACATTTCAAAAGTCATTTAAATTAGCAAGCAGATCGAACATGCCCCGCTTTGTGCCGTGCAAACTCTGCTTTCCTACACCTTTGCCTTTAGAAGACTCGGCAGTGATGCTGTGCCTTTTCCCCTTACGCGCCTCTCCTCTTGTCTTAGCATCCCCGCGGGTGTCTCCTACGACGTGCCCATGCTCTAGGAGTCCTTCCATCACTGCTTCTAGGACACAACTGATCTCTTGCCCCAAAGATGCTGAGGAATGCGCGTCGTGATACCCCACGCTGGATGGCTGCCGTGCCAGGAATGCATGGAATTGTGAGCCAGAGAATTGCAGAATGGACGAGAGATCAATTGAATCCCCCGTACCATCTTCAGTGGGATGGGTATCGCCCAGGAGTAGTGCCCGAGCGAGCAAGTTTGCAGCTTCGAGGGCTGCAAGAATTTGAGAGGTGAGTACAATAGAGCGCGCAGAAAGCTCCGCTGGTGGGGCGACTTCTACCCCTTGTGTTCCATTAGCTTGCGCAGGGGAACAGGCGAGGAGGAAGGCCCGTCCTTCTGACACCGTCCATCTAGGTCTTGAAGGGGTGGAGTGAGACATGGACAGGGAGACGGTGATAATCGTGTGACGTAAGGCGGAGGCAAGGAGGATCCACTGCGAAGGCAATGCTCGCATGCGGGAGGTGTTCGAGGAAAGTGCCATCAGCAATATTTCCAATCGGGACGAAACTGACTGCAATTGAATAGGGTGAGTGTCATCATCGTGACGGTTTTCTATGGGAAGACTTCGCAGAACGTCATCTGTAGCCAATGCTGAAGACACGAGCTCGTGAAGCGGTGCGATCCGCACAGGCACTGCGACAAGGCGAAGACCATGACGGATGTACTCCGTCACATGTCGCGGACCAGTCCTCCTCGGTACATTGCTCGACGTGAACGATTCCGCTATTTCGGACCGATTCACAGCTGCCAATCCATCGGGACGTTCATGGAGAGGCGCGTGGATTTGAAGTATTTGGAGCTTGTCACGCAATGCAAGCAAAGGATCTTGGCTGTCCTCCCGTGACCGCTCGTCGGCGTGCTGCGATAATCCTTCAAAACCCTCATCGATATTTTCCTCGTCGCTGATTTCCTCCACCACGTCAATGAGTTCGTCCTCGTCTTCCCCAGTCACAATCTGGCTTTCCACATGTGCGGGTTCCTCTTCATCTCCAATACCATCAAGGCCACTAGCCAAAGCGGCGTACATCCACTTGCGAATTGATCCACCAATGAAATTTGCGGGACTTTGAACATCGGGGTCCTCAAGAAACGGAAGCGGCCATGTAGTGGCAGACGTATAGCATCCCAAGATGTCATTATGCAAGTCCCCAGCACGATAAGCCTTTGTAAACAACTTCTGAACTCGCAGCTGACTATCATTGGCTGGACTAACGATCAAATTCTCGAATGGTCCGACACCTGGTAGATCCACCGGAACGAGGTATTGAAAGATAGCATCACGAATGATGTCCGAAATATTAAGTACCTCCTTTTCACTGAGATTTCTTAACGACAAGTTTGAAATGGCGGCGTTGATGAGTGCAGAGACGTTGTCGCCTCCTTCGCTTTGCAACCAAGGGGCCTTGCGTCTATGAGGCTTCTTGGTAGGATTAAAAATATCATGAATGACAGAAGCAACTCTGTGGACACGGTCAGGAACCGACATGGACCTTGGGAAAAATGTGGAAGTGAAGTCTGGGGTGAAGTCGTTGCCAAGAAGGGAGGACATGAGAGGAAGGAGTCCATGACTGATCCTAAGGGTTTCAGCGAGCTTCGCTGGATGGTAGACAGAAACAGAGAAAACATCGAAATTTTGAGGCGGATTGAGGCATGGGCCGGACAGTTGACGCGTGGCTTTGGGCTTCTTCAAACGGGCCCCTTGGAATCCATCATCATCCAGGATTGATTCTGAATCATCTGGCGTTGCAATCCAAACTGCTTCGTCAAAGGGTATGTATCCCTTGTGGTGGGCATTCAGGATATAGTAGTCGGAATCTTGCGCCAACACATATCCGTTGTGGATGGCAGCCAAAGCGACGCAGTCAGGATCCCCTTCGCCGTCGCATATGAAGTAACGGACTCCTTCAGAATAAAGATCCTTGATCGCGGAGAGGCAGGCGTCTTTGGCAAATGGGACGGAAATCCTATGCGCGCTCAGAAAGCTAGAGGAAGATCGAGAAACCGATGATGTCCTGAAGAAGAGGTTGGCGCCATGTATACGAGTCTGCTGTATTCTTTTCCTCACAACTGGAAATTTTATCTCCGATGCAGGACCTGCATTGCGAGGGCCATGGAAAATCAGCTTCAAAGAGGTTTAAAATGGAAGTACCGTCAAAGACAAAATGTGGGGTAAGACCGACGGACAGCCACGCCCTGCACACCCGTCCAACAGCGCTTTTGAGCGCGCCATACTCTCCTCCATAAACCCAAGGGATTCCGCATTGAGTCTGCAAAGTATAGAAGAAGCTTGAGGACAGGCGCGTGAGCCGCAACTGAGGTTCGTTGGACTAAGACAATGCTGAACGCCTTACGAGTAGCCATCCACCACCAACACCTCTTTCACACGAGAGCTCCCTTGCTCAAAAACTACGGTTTCCGCTAGACTTGGCTTTCCCTTCACGAATGTAGATAAACCTTGAACCCCCATCCGAAAGAGACCAGTGCTTACATAAGTAGAATCACGAGTACTCAGATTACTTATTACAGAAGCTGAATGGCGTGGCTGTGCCTGTGACAAACGAAATTTCCCGGAGTTTTATTGAACGGTTTGCCTATCCGCTCGTGTTCTGACTTAGATGAGCGCCGCTCGGGCGGCTGTTAGGAATGCCGGAACACGTCTAAGGCTACCCCGTCCACCGGTATGCTTGATTCACCAAGTCTGACCATATCTTCCACACCCAACCATTGCCCGGCGCAGACTGCTTTTACTGCTCCTTCGCCTCCTGCACCGCGGATCGAATTTGAGCCAACCCCTCAGAGGCTCAGCTTGAGTCCTGGTAGTAGCAAGCCACCCAAAGAAGCCTTATCTAAATGGACAAAATCACGACGCAATGGTAAGTTTGACTGGTTTCACAGAGTTCCTTCGCATCAATTCCCCTCTGGACATACGAACCAGTGCCCCCAGGTCCCCCTATCCCATTGTCCTCATCGGTTTCCTCGGTTCACCGGCCGAGGACCGGCGGCCTGGAGTCACCGGAAGTCGTCCGAGGTGTTTGGTCTGAGGAAGACCCTCAATATCGAGGGAGAAAGGTGATCAACAGAGGGAAGCGTACAGGGAGCCGTAAGTTCGCCGAGACTGAGCCGGAGCACTCAAACAAGCGACGACAATGGAATGGCCTTTTTCAGCATACTACTCTGGCACAAGCAATCAAGAAGCCAAAGAAGACTACCACGAAGAACAAGATTCAGAAAAACGTTTACATACCAAAGAACATTACGGTAGCCAATTTCGCTCGCTCGCTTGGGGTGCCGCACAGTGAGATTCTCTTGCACAATTCGTCCGGAGCGTACACCCACCAGCTTTTCTAGAGCGTTTGCAGTCGAAGATGGAAAATAACGGTATGGCCAATGTTAACTCGAATTATAGTATGTTATTTCGTTTTGCCTGCTCCCATGAAGCCTACGATTGTTGTTGCAGTGCTTTCTTCAGATGACGCATATCTGCTTGCAATCGAGTTTAATCGTAACCCAATCGTAGACGAGGAGGCTGCATTTGACCTCTACCCTTCGCAAGTCGCTTTATAGTGATGTGTTGTAGACGTGGCTGACATCGACACAGACCCTCTCTTGCTGATAAATCCCTACTTCCTCCCAGACCCCCCGTTATCACCATTATGGGTCATGTTGATCATGGAAAGACGACTTTACTAGACACTCTCCGTTCGGCATCAGTTGCAAGCGGAGAAGCTGGCGGTATTACACAACACATTGGCGCATTTAGCGTTCCAGTGAATTCTCTAGTCATTTCCAATGGCCCCTCTGTTGATACTCTTGGAAGTATCACATTCCTGGATACTCCGGGCCATGCAGCATTTACTGCGATGCGGTCTCGTGGTGCCCACTCCACTGATATCATTGTTCTGGTCGTTGCTGCTGATGACGGGGTCATGCCTCAGACTCGTGAGGTTATTGCTCTAGCAAAGCAGAGTGAATTATCTGGAGAGGGAAATATAGGTCTCGTTGTGGCCCTAAACAAGATGGATAAGCCTGGCGCAGATCCTGTATGTCGACTATCAGTGGATCTTTGGGTGTCTCCTCACTAGTTTAGTTCATTAGGTTGTCATTAAACACGCGCTTCTTGCCGAGGGCGTGGAACTCGAAGAGTTTGGCGGAGACGTCCCTTGCGTAGAAGTTTCTGGGCTGGCTGGTATGGGTCTGGATAAGCTGGTGGAGACGTTGGCCACTCTCGCCGAAATAAAGGAACTCCGAGCACGAGTGGATGGGGCAGCAGAGGGAATAGTTTTGGAGAGTCGGGTGGACAAGGGGAGAGGGTTCGTTCCCTTTTCCACTCTGCCCATCCCATGCTGATTATAGGAAACTGTCGTTTGAAGGGCCGTCGCCACTATTTTGGTCACGAATGGTACTCTCAGCTCTGGCTCCCATGTGGTTGCTGGTACAACATGGGCCCGCATACGCCAAATGACAGATTCAACAGGGAACCCTGTTTGTTCTGCACTGCCTGGGACTCCTGTGACTGTTTCGGGATGGAAGGAACTCCCCCTGGCTGGAGATGAGGTTCTGGAAGGCAAAGAACATGAAGTCAAAACGGCAACTCGGAACCGAAAGCGCAATCTCGAGATGAAAGCCCTTCAGGCGGACGTTGAGTGCATCAATGAGAAGCGTGCAGAAGCAAGGGAAGGAGCTACTTCAACGAAGGCTGGCTTGCTGCACGCTGTTTCTTGTAGCTCGACATCACCACAATCCAGTGTCAAAGAGTTGCGACTTATTGTCAAAGCGGATGTCAGTGGCTCCGTAGAGGCAATTGTTGGGTCGATTGAAGGAATAGGGAACGACTTGGCGAAGGTTCGCATTATCCAAGCTAATGCTGGAGAACCCACCGCGGCGGACGTTGATATGGCCAAAGCCGTTGATGGTATGTGAATTTGACTTCTCCATCAGTGTCCTTTCGGCAATCCTTGATATTATTTGGATGTTGAGGCATGATACTTGGATTCTCCGTCCAACCCAACAACAAAGTTCTCTCTTATGCTTCATCGCAGGGAGTGTTGATAAAATGCAATTCTATCATTTACCGAATTATCGATTTGGTGAGGTCGAAAGTGCAGGAACTTTTGCCTCCAATTGTGGAATACCGCGTCCTCGGTGAGGCTCTCGTTCAGCAGCTGTTCCAAATCCATGGGAAGCAGAAGAGCATTATCAGTGTTGCTGGGTGCCGAGTAACGAATGGGATTATCGAAAAACATAAGAAAGTTAGGATCATTCGAGGCGAACGAGAGGTTTACAATGGTAAGTTTCCAGAACTTTCATAATTTCACGTCATGCTGAATAGTCGTCTGTCAGGTTCTCTCGATACTTTGAAGCAACTGAAAAAAGACATCACAGAAGTACGGAAAGGATCAGAATGCGGGATGTCATTCACGAATTTTGCAGGCTTCAAAGACGGCGACCGCATTCAAACTTACGACGTGATAGAAAAGCCGGGACGGCTTGTCTGACAAGAAAATTAGAGTAGCTTACTTGTGCCATTTAGAGTTGTCATGATAATATCGATTAATACGTCCTCCCTTCTTTGGACAATTGATATTTGTGACTGCTTTGGTTCCCACTCCGTATCAAACAAGCGAGACACACGGTGCTACTTCGGTTCAGCTTTTACCTTATTGTCTAAATCGAACACGGGCGTCGTCGCACCGGTTCTACCGCCTACTCCGAAGGTCAAACCGTATCCGGGGGGCAAGTTTGCTATGGTCGCCTCAGAGGGTTTTTCCAGGAATGGCCAAGAGGTAGCGGAGGCTTTATCTAGTAGAAGGTCAACCTAGACCAAGGTTAGTAGACAGAAACAATGCGAGGCGGATCGAATGGGTCAGACCCACTTTTGTACCAAAAAAGGTGAAGCTTGATGAGTCCGGATTAATGGAGTCATATAGGGTCAGCGTCTGCATAAATCGTTTTGATTGCGGAAGTGAAAGGTCAAGGTGGATCTGGACAGCACATGGAATTTAAGAGATACCGGGAATCGACAAAAAGATGGCTTGCTAACCTCATCTGGGGCAAATGTGATCTTGCTCTGGTCCTTGTCCGCCTTCTTTGCGTAGACGGAGACATGGACTTTGTCAGGTGTTTGATAATGATCAATACGGCACTTGACAAACTCCCCGAATTCTTGGCCCTGTTTTGAGGTTCTCCATCAGTCAACCTGGCCGGGTGAAGTGAGTATGAGCGAGAACACACTGAAGTCCCAACGAGCGCTTTCTTCACGAACACATGCTTCCCTGTCTTGCAACCTTCTATCTTGAGAAAATCGTCGAAGTCGAGCACCCTCCGTTTGCAACACATATACCCTTTGCTCCCTTCATGGAAAATGGGCTGCAGGAGGATATTAACTAATTTCGAATAGCGATGAAACGGTTTCGTACAGGCAATGGGTGATATGTGCAAACAGAATGCTCTCCGCCCTCTATCCGGCTCTCCTTTTGGCTGAGAAACTCTGTTCCGCATCCTTGACGCAGACATTTAGCGCCAGGCGACACACCAACATCGACATCATCCTCATCCTCCACAGGTGGTGGTGGGGTTGCGGATGGAGTAGGGTTGAGACTCAATTGAGAAATCATTAATAATTGCTCGTTCTTGAAGGTCTCTACGCCATTCTCCGATGTCGTTGTGATGGGCTTCACCTTAGGCTGCGACGCTGTTGGCTGGGTAGAAATGGTGGACGTTTGTGGCGCACTTTGCTTCGGAGCTTGAGAAGAATGACGCCCTTTTGTGCACCCCTAAGTCAGCTGTGGGTATGCTTATTCTTCAAAGGTTTGTTACTCTCGCAGTAGTTACACACCGGGATTTTCATGAAGTCATCGAAGTCGAGGACAGGCTTGTTCACATCATTGCAGCAGCCCCAACTCTTGAGACCTTCGTGAAAGATCTAAATATCACAGGCACGAATCATAAGTAATGCATTCACGACAAACCCTAGAACTCACTGGGCCTCCAGAATGGAATGAACACGCGTCGCCCGAGTTTGCCTCTTCGTCGAACTCCTTCCCACAGCCTTTGTTAGTACATTTCACCATTGCTGAGCTTTCTTATGTGTGTTACAAGGCGTATCTTGCGCTTCACTGCTTTAAGAACTCTCTAGAAAATGTTTACGGAGGTAGGATCGGCGATTAGGTCCCGTGATTAGACCCTATCAACTTCCCTAAAATGCCTGTCCATGACAGCAGCTATTCTCAGCCCACGCAACAACAAGACCTTTCTGTTGTTCTAGTAACAGGATCTTACGATCACGAGATACGATTTTGGGAAGCCTGGAGTGGGATTTGTTCACGAACCATCACCAGGGATGAAGCTGGGGTAAGAAGTTTATTTCCCAAGCCAACAAGCTAAAGTGTACTTACGCGGACACACCAGCAAATAAACAGATTAGCGGTATCCCCAGAGCGAGTACTGAAAAATCACCTATCGCCTAATTTCACTCATCGCTGAGATCAACAGCAAGCGCCTGTTAGCTGCTGGGATCCACAAACGGATAATGGTATATGAAGTAGCTGGAAATTCTTCCAAGTCGGTGAATACACATGATGATTTTCATCGGCTTTTCCCCCCTTAAACTAGGAGCCTACCAGCTCGTTACATTCGAAGGCCATACAAACAACGTTACTGCGGTGTCGTTTCATCCTGAAGGGAAATGGGTTGTGTCTGGTAGCGAGGATGGCACAATAAAGATATGGGATCTAAGGTGGGTCCCTGGTAGGCCGCTACCCGAGAAGTTGGCTTATCATGCTTCCAGGACATCGCACTTGTATCGAACATATGAAAATGGATCGCCAGGTCGACGAGAACAGCTCCGCCACCGTTACTTCGATGCTGATGAGCTGGCTCTTTTTTCTAGTGAATGATGTGGTCGTTCATCCGAACCAGGGCGAATTAATTTCCTGTGACCAAGCTGGCGTAATCAGACAATGGGATCTGGCGGAAAACTCATGTACACTGGAACTGGTATGTTATCCAGTTGAACTCTTGCCCGTCGTCCTGACTTTATCTGGGATCGAGGCACCTGCTGGGGATACCCCAATACGCTCTGTCAGTGTTGCATTCGATGGATCATGTCTGGTCGCCGGAAACAACAAAGTGTGCAAGTTTAATCTTGACTAACCTCTCAACTCAGATAGACCACACAGGGGAAAGTCTATGTCTGGAAGATCAATGACGATGCTTCTGGTCTCCCCCGCTTCCAAGCGGTGACGAAGTTTCAAGCACATAATAAATACCTCACAAGGTGTCTCCTGAGTCCCGATGTAAGGTAAGTCATCATCAAATGTCAACTTGCGTTTTCTCCTAACGCAGTATCCAGGCTTCTAGCAACATGTTCGGCTGACACAACAGTTAAGATATGGTCAATCGGCCCGACATTTGAATTCAAATTAGAGAAGACTTTGGTAGGACACCAAAGATGGGTATGGGATTGTGCCTTTAGTGCTGATTCTGCCTACCTTGTTACCGGTAAGATCACGGTAGGACCTTTCCTTGTGATAGCCATTAACTGCGTGCGCTCTTAGCGTCTTCGGATCACGTCGCTCGACTTTGGGAACTTGCTTCTGGAGAGACTGTCCGACAGTACAATGGACATCATAAGGCCTGCGTTTGCGTTGCCCTCAACGATGTGAATCTTGCATGAGACGAATTCGTACCTCACTTGGCTATGTTGTGACTTGTAGGGAGTATTTAATGACCAGGGTTTGTTTTTTTTTTCTAGCACTGTTGAGTCGTCATTTACGGACCTTGTAAGTCACCACTGGCGCCAACGTGGCTACAATTTTTACAATGCCTTCATCCGCCAAATCCTTCACGACATTCTCAATATCCTTGTAAGCTTCTGGAATCTCTTCAAACAGCAAATCTTTGTCTTCACATATGACCTTCCCGCCAAACCGGGTAGTCTCGAGGGAAGATGCATCGTGCCGTGACCGCTCTTCTGACTTCTTCCCTTTGGAAGGGCCAGGCGAGTATTTACGCGAGAAATCTGCGAGAGCTTTGGTTCGGGTGAGCTGGCGGCCCGCTCCGTGCGCCAGCGAGAATCCTGTCTAAGTCTAAGTGACTAGGATCAAGTGGACAGAAATGCAGCTTGAAAGCTAACCATTACGATGCTGCGGACCCGTGGGAAGTACAAGGAATGAGTATGCGCCACGGCTGCCTGGGATTATTACTAGGCCTCGATCACTTGGAGCAGCCCCTTTTCGGTGCACCCAAACATGGTTAGGTGCCAAGGGGCTCGTCGGATTGATATTTATACTTGTTGGAAACTCAGCAGGTGATATGATGGAAGGTGCCCAATCGGAATTTCGTTCGACATTGTTGTGCCAGATGTCCAGGACTTTCCGCCGTTTCAACTTGAAAGGAATGGATGACACACATTCCGAATCGGGGTCGATACCGCTTGTATGCGGGGGCCGAGGATTGTAAGTCTCATCGATGCGTTCGAGTATCCGGTGAGCAATCAAGTCTCGATTGCAACAAGCCCATCGGCAAGCATCATCATGCCGGGAAAGGTATGTGTCAAACTCCTCTGTCCCTTCCGCCAGAGGTGCACCTGTGTGAATTCCAGCAGAAGATAATGATGATTTAGTGGAGGCGAGGATATTTTGTCCCAGTCCTCGGGATCCGCTATGCACTAGCAAGAAGAGATTTGAAGTGAAATCTTTGGTTTCAAGGGAAGACGGCACGTCTTTTCGATCACCCGGACGCAGTCGCTGTTCACGAAGACTAGAGGGAAAAAATGCAGGGGTAACGAATTCGTCGAAAGCGTCTTGATCCCAAATTTTTTCAACAACCTGAAGTTCAGCAAAGTGGTTCCCTCCTCCAATCGTTCCTAAACTCGAATTCCACGTTGAGTCGATGGATATCACCCCAGCCTCTCTTAACCACTCCTCGACAGTGCAGCCATTTCCTCCCTCCCAGGCACCTTCGATGTCCCTAATCTTGTTGGCAATCCAGCTTGGCTTTTCCCTGGCCTCACTTGCTGATATCCCAGTGACATACAGCCCCATTCCGCAGCCAATGTCGCCACCTATGAGCGCGGGTCTGATAGTTGAATGGTTTGTTATGACGATGGCGCCAATTGGGAACGTGGTTCCTGGGTGAAGATCTGGCATCCCGATAGTGGAGAGGACGCCTTGGAGCTTGGAGATCGCTTTGAGCTGTGCAATTGCGCTGGGATCTACATACGACTCATGGGCAAGTACGATGGCTTCTGATGGTATATCGGGTTGGTGCGACTCCGACGGATTAGTGGCAGGAAGCGATGAGGCCGATGGCGTCGATAGCGAGGCCAAGGCGGCAATTGGAGGTAGTGATTGGGCCGTCCCACCACCAACAAACGGCTCGCCTGATGATATTAGTATGGTACTTTTTGGAATGTCGTGGGTGAAATCTTGTGAGTACGAACGCCTAGACGACTCACCTGTCGGTGTCGAGGTCTAAGATGGACGACGATTCTGTTACCTGAGTCCCATCTGAGCGAAAGACTTTTACTTTTGAGGGTTTTTTTATTCTCAGCTTTTTTTTCGCTGCATCTATGATGAAAGCCAGGGGATCGCCAGAATTAGGCACAAGCACAACAGACCTGTTCTGTTGTTGGAAGTTCTGCACGATAGTGAGACGCTTTACTGAAGGCATAACTCAGACCCGTCGACGTGGATTGCTTGCTCTTTGATCTGACTCGTTTTCTGTGCTAGGGTCCGAGCAAAAGCACGTACCCATTTACGGGGAAACAACTAAATATAAAATGGAGCGAGCAACTGTATTACGGGAGTGCCCTTTTGTATAACTATGTTCCTTAATGAATTTGAAAAAGATAGCTCCCGAGCGGCTAAAGCGGAGCTGTCAGCTACAGGACAATGATGCTTGCTCCTTCCAATGCACCACATCTAAGCACCTGCAGCTGAAGCTCAAATCCAGTAGTCCACATGACAACTTACGGAGACTCCAAACGCGTTTACTCCCTAGCCAGTGCGTCACAGCCTTCGTTCGAGTGTTTACATCCACCCTCATTCCGAAGCAGTCATTAAGGCCGGAGACGTCAAGAAAGCACCCCCGAGCCCAGCGCTTTATGTCAGGCTCGTATTGTCGGGAAATAAACTTGATAAAACTGAGGCAAAACGGAACCCAACTTGGCGTCACACTTGTTCTCTGTAGGTTTTGCGATTAAGGGAGGTCTGGATAGTCCGCTAAAGTGCGTACCTTCAGGACAGCGGAGTTGTCTTCTGTTCTGTCCTTTCATCTCAAACACTCCCGCGAATGGTTCGGTCCCATCCTACTTGGTTCTGTGCACATCACAACGGAAAAGTTGCTAGATAGATGCAAAAATAACCAACGTGAGCTGGTTATCCTTAGTCTTGCCTCGTTGGGTGGTCTCATTTAAAACTGCTGCAGGAACTACCCTAACACTCCATGACGAACGGGGTCTAGAGGCAGGCTCGCTCATTGTTCAGTTGCTGGACACTACGAAGCGAGTTCCTCAACCCGCTATCGATTGCGCCGGCCAGGACCTACCTACGTCACTCGAGATTCCCGAGCAGGTTCGAGGTGCTACCGACTCAGCGGCTGCAGTTCGAGATCTAGGCAGCGCACTCAAACAAGTGGTCGACAAGACCAAGGCTGTGGTGGATTTGGTCGATAAAACAGCCAAGGTATGCGTTGCTCTGCGGTAGCATATCTTTAGTTTGCGCTGACGCTGCTGAGTAGCTCCATCCTTACGCAAATATTGCTTGGCAGGTCTTGAGTTCGGCGTACCAAGTATGGATTCGTCATTATCATAGCGCAAACCCGTGCGCTGACAATTTCGAGCGGTTGTTTCAGGCTGTTCGAGGGCAGATAGAGAGAGACGACGCACTCTGCAGTCTTGTCGCGTCTATGGCTGACCTTTATTCGTTCGTCGATGCCGTTGATGAGCTAAAGAACAAAATTCAGCTCCTCGAAGCCAGCATTATCCGAATTTCTGTCCAAACGACGGAATGCGGAATTTTCATTAAGCAGTATGTGTCCCGTGGGCTCATAGGTAGGCCGCTCGTTGTCGGTTGTGTCGCTTAGTTCAGTGTGAACAATCAATGTGCCCAGGGCGACTCGCTCACCAAACATTCTCAAACACCTCCCAAACAATCTCGAACCTCTCGGGGGTGCTAACAAGGCTCAAGGAGGACCTTCATATGGGAGTAACATCTTACAGTGCATTCATCTCGGTCCAAATATCCAGGGGCGTGGAAAAACTTGGTGCGATGACTTCCACCTTCTGTGCACCGGACATTACTTACCTTCAGGGTTTGCAGTTGAAATCGAGGCATTGAAGCCTGCGACCATGGATGCGGGAGATCGAGATACATGCTTGCCTGGGACTCGAGTAGACATCTTGAAAAACCTCATCGATTCCCTGACAGATCCTAGCTTGCCTCCCGGTCATAATGTCATCTGGCTTCGTGGACCGGCTGGATCCGGCAAGAGTACCATACTCAACACGGTTGCTCAACACTTCTCAGAGCTGCGCCGACGTGGCGCTTTTCTGTTCTGGGACCGGAACGACCCTCTTAATGGTGAACCCCTTCGTGTGATACGTACTCTTGCCTTCCAGCTGGCTCGTTTCAATCCCACTTTTTCCGTGAAAATGGCCGAACAAATCGAAAAATTGCCCGACATTACTACATCCACCCTCGATATGCAATTCAAGCATCTTCTAGAGGCGCCTCTGGCCGAACTCGCAGCAGAGCTTGATTTAGGCCCTATTGTAATTGTCCTTGATGCCCTTGATGAGTGTGGTACTATGGAGACGAGGACAAAGCTCCTTCGCGCACTCTCTGAAGGCCTTGCAAGGCTTCCGAGTACCTTTCGGTTCCTGATAGCCAGCCGGGACGAACCCGACATTGGTGCTGCCCTGTCGCGTCTGGGTGTTGACGTGCGTGACGTGCCGATCGGGGATGAGTCGACATCATCTGACATCAAGCTCCTTTTCCAACAACGGCTTGCCTGCAGCGCTGATGCCTTCGTAGGCCATGGTCTGTCATCCAATTGGCCAGGAGACCCCGTAATACGGCAGCTTGTCGCTCTGTCCGGAGGTCTTTTCATTTGGGCATCTACAACCATTCGCTTCCTTGAATCCGGCTTTCCTGAAGAAAGGCTGAAAAAGGTGCTAAGTGCATCAGTACAGGCCCCATCGCATGCTGGGTTGGACAATTTGTATCGGGTCGCTCTTACTCATCCATTCGACTCATACGACGAAAACGAACTCAAAGCTGTACATTCCATCCTCGGTGCAATAGTAGTCGCTCGTGAGCAGCTAACAGATTGGCAGCTCAGTCAGCTACTAGGACTGGAGTTAGGTAAGGTCCAGGTGGTGCTCTCGCGGTTGCAATCGCTGTTGCAGGGTGGTCGCGGGCGTCCTGTTCAAGTCTTACATACATCCTTTACCGATTTTCTGTGCGACTCCAAACGGTGTCAAGATCCGCAATGGCACATAAACACACCTGTTCATCACCTTGATCTTGCATCTGGCTGTCTCCAGGTGATGAAACGAGATCTCAAATTTAACATCTGCGGGATCGAGACGTCCTATTACCGGAACAGGGAAATCGAGGGAATTCAACAGCGAATCGATCGGGCCATAACGCCTGCGCTGACGTATGCAAGCGAATACTGGGCAGACCATTTGGATTTTGGATCTATGTCAGAGCCAGGTCCGCATCCCCTTGTCGATGCGGTTATGAACTTCATCAATCGCCAGTTCCTGTACTGGATTGAGGTATTCAGTGTGAAGGACCGCATGTTTATGATACCCTCTATTCTAAGGAAGGCGGCTAGTTGGGCTAAGGTAGGCCACTTTTCTCGTGTGCAATGGGAACGAGTGATTGATTTGCTTACATAGAATTACGAGCGGGGACTCGAAGAAATCATCTCAGAGGCATATACATTTGTGAACGTCTTCGGGTATCCAATCGGTCAGAGCGTGCCACACATCTATCTCTCACTCAGCTTTGCCGTTTTCACCTTCTCAGTCTGCTGGTATGCGCAATGCATTCCAGAATACTCTGTCTGTTCAATTAGGGCTTCCCAAACGATGGCCTGTGATTCGTCAGACACTTAGAGGAAACTCTGACTTCGTCCTGTCACTCGCAATCTCTCCCGACAGCACCCGCATCATCTCAGGCTCTTTCGACAAGACAGTCCGGATTTGGGATGCTGTGTCAGGTGCACCAATCGGCGAGTCTCTGTGGGGGCACTCTGGCTGGGTCTACTCGGTTGCATTCTCTCCCGATGGCACCCGCATCATCTCAGGTTCTTCCGATAACACAATTCGAATTTGGGATTCCGCATCAGGTGCTCCAATGGGCGACTCGCATCGTCTCAGGCTCTGAAGACGAGACAGTTCGAATTTGGAACGCCATGTCAGGTGCGACAATTGACGAGCCTCTGCAAGGGCATTCCGGAAAGGTCTGGTCAGTTGCATTCTCTCCCAACGGCACCTGGATCATCTCAGGCTCATCTGACAAGACAATTCGAATTTGGGATGCAGTGTCAGGTGCACCAATCGGTAGGCCTCTGCAAGGGCGCTCACACTGTTCGGTCGGTCGCATTCTCCCCTGATGGCACTCGCATCATCTCGGGCTCTGGTGACAAGACAGTTCGGATTTGGAATGCCGTGTCAGGTGCGCCAATCGGCGAGCCACTGCAAGGGCACTCTGCTGAAGTCTGCCCAGTTTCATTCTCTCCCAACGGCACCTATATCGCCTCAGCTCCTTCGACAAGACAGTTCGGATTTGGGATGTCATGTCAGGTGCTCCAATCGGCAATCTTCTGCAAGGGCACTCTGCTGGGGTCTGTTCAGTTGCATTCTCTCCCAATAGCGCCTACATCATCTCAGGCTCCTTTGACAAGACAGTTCGAATCTGGGATGTCATTCAGGTATACCGATTGGCGAGTGTCTGCAAGGGCACTCCAACACAGTCTGGTCGGTTGCATTTTCTCCCGATTGCACCCGCATTGCCTCAGGCTCCCAAGACAAGACAATCCAAATTTGGGACGCTGCATCAATCAGTGAGCCCTTGCAAGGGTGCTCGGCCCCATTGACCGTGCTCTCCCCCGATGGCACCCACATCGCCTCAGCCTCGCCCGATAAGACGATTCGATCGTCACGGCCTTTGGCAGGGGTGCCTGACAGTATATCTCGATCATCGCGCTCTTCTCTCACCCTGTCCGACTCCATTTCGGAGAATGCCGATGTGCGTAACGGGGCGCCGATGTTTTCTGATGGCTCATTGCTTCGTAGTGATGGTTGGATGACTACAACAGACGGGCTACTTCTCTTTTGGGTCCCACCGGAGCATCGCCTTGGCCTATTCCGGCCCAGTACCCTCACGGTTATAGGAGTTCGACTAATCTGACTGAACATGCAGCGTTTTGTTCAGGGTTTGCAATGGACACAGTGTCACACTGGGGATTGCTAAATTTGTGACTTGTACATTGCGGTAACTTTATGGTATTTACAACTAATTTGCAAGCTTCCCAATCAGTATTTTAGGAAAACCTGTCAAGATGAGATACTATGCTATTGGAAAGAGAGATTGACTGCTAGGTCATCTTCATGACTCTGCCCCTGTGGTCGCATCATAATGCCTGAACAAATAAAAGAAGTGTCTCAAGAGGCTTCAACGTGAAATGCAGCACCAACAGGCAAATACTGAAGAAGGCCATCAGATCGACCCAGAATTCACGTGCATTAGGTTTTTTTTAAAGTTGTGGTGACCATGTCATAAGAAATGAAGGGCTACGACCGCAAAGTTGTTAAACTAGGGAAGATAGTGCAAGATAGACGGGAAAAACACCAAACCCGTACCGAAAATAAGAAACAGGGAGAGAAGCTACGGAACTAGGAAGAGGGGCAACCTTGGGTAACATGGAAGCTACCAGCCAAAAACCATGGCCCCCTGCCTCTAGGCAGGCCCGTAACAAGGGACTCAGACAGTTTCTGTCAGGGACGCATCCGGGGTGGAGGGACCCTCTTGGGGGACGAAGCGGGCGCGCGTACTGACGGGCCCGATCTGGGACTGTAGTCCCTGGCCACTTAGACTGAAGTGGAAAACGTGAATTGTTATTAAAAGGAAGAACTACACTACTTACCTGAAGTGGAAAACGTGAGAAGAAGGTTACTTCTTCAGTTCCCACTTCAGGTACATTTATGTACATGCGGCTTGGGTCACATGACGAGTGCCACGTCATCTGCGGAGAGGGCCGCAGCCATCTGGGTATCCCTGCAGGGGATCCCGAGGGCATCCGCTGCAGGTGCGCATGCTGGGCGTAGCGGGAAGTCGTCCGGGGTGTCCGAGCCGGACGGGTCAACAGTACAATGATACAAGGGAAGGTGGTCCATGTAAATAGAAAGAATAAACAGAAAGGGAGAGTGAAATAAAGGAGAAAGAGGAAAGAGGGAAGAGGGAGGAAAGGGAGGAAGGGGAAGAGGGAGGAAGGGGAAGAGGGAGGAAGGGGAAGAGGGAGGAAGGGGAAGAGGGAGGAAGGGGAAGAGGGAGGAAGGGGAAGAGGGAGGAAGGGGAAGAGGGAGGAAGGGGAAGAGGGAGGAAGGGGAAGAGGGAGGAAGGGGAAGAGGGAGGAAGGGGAAGAGGGAGGAAGGGGAAGAGGGAGGAAGGGGAAGAGGGAGGAAGGATGGGTAGCGGGGAGCGGGTGAGCAGGTGAGTGGGTGAGGTGGGCCCAGGTGGGCCCGGGTGGAACCGGGTCAGGCGGGTGTGCCCTGACAGTTTCTGAGTGGGATGAGGCCCAGGATAACCTTCCAGTAGCCGGCTAGACACCAGCCCCCTGCTGTACAATAAACAACGACAATTAAAAAAAAAAAAAAAAAAACCGTAAAATACTTGAAACCACTACCCCAAACCACAACACTATCCCGCAAAACAGCAAGAACTGAATACAAGCACTAGGGTAACAAAAACAGTGCCCACCTATAACCAACCAAAAACTGTACAGTTAGCAAGCCCCCATGACAACCACAACCAGTATTAACGTGGAAAACCGTGAGAAATCCTGCCAAACAATAACCCAACCACCACATGCCCAACAAACCACACCCTAAGGCTGACTGACCACCATAACCACAAAATCCAGGAAAATAAACAGATGAAAAACAGGAAAATAATAAGAAAATCACATACACACTGAGAATGCGAACCCACCGTAGCCAGCCTGGAAATTGAACCAAAAACACCAGAGAAACTCCCCGAAAAACCCACCCACCAAACCCCCTAGCAAACAAACCAACACGAAGCCAACTAAGCACAAATTCTCAACTTGAAATAACCAAAAGACAAATTAACATAAAATACCCACCATGTGACCCACCCGCATAAAACCCCCCCGGAACACACCGATAACTGTGCAGTTACCTGCATAACTACTGAGCTGTTCCACACAGTAAGCGCAAATGCCGTCGATGCACCTGGATGCTGACCACGAAACCGACCACCTCCTGCCCTTGGCAGGCCAGAAACGAGACCGGGAGAACTCCAGTGCCTCAGACAGGTCCGGCCCCCCCAGAAAAGAAATCAGAATGTCCTTCGCCCCCATCCCCAGCCCAGCGCCGGACCAGATACCCGGAGAAAACCACAACATGCCTCTGATAACCAACCCAAACTACTCCATGGACGCCCCTACCCTGAGAACCCAAGCGTCTGAGGTAGCGGACTCTGAGTTCCCAACCACCCAAGAAAAGGAACCCAGCCCACCTCCAACTACGGTCATCCACCCCTCACCGGGCCCATACAGCACGCCCCAGGATGACCTAATGGAATACAATGCCTTCCACCTACCAGAGAGCTTTGAATACAGGGTTTTGGGAATAAGCAGTGAACACTTACGCCACAATGTCCTAGAAAGAGCCAAACAAGAATGGCAGAGAGCCAGGAACTTCTCAGTAATCATTGTTCCCTTCTACATGTCCTTCTCCCTCACCCAAATCCAAAAAGCCAAAACCAACACCACAATCTTCCTAAAGCGAGCCTTCCCAGGCTCGCAAGGCACTCTAACCGTCATCCCCGCTGCCAAGGCTATGGACCAGCAAGGAGAAGAACCCCTCCCGTGGGGGATCATGATAGCCGGACTGATGTACTGCGATGCCGCCACATTGCTCCACCACCAGTTCTGGCTGTCAAAGGCCTTCTGCTTTGTGGCATACCCCACAACGCCCTTCATCTCAACCTGGATTGGGAACTGGGCCTTTGCCATGAACGAGAACGATAAACCCACTGTCATAGAATGCCTTAAGAGCAACCTCGCAAATGCCCACACAAAAATAGGAAAATACCTCCACACAAAAATCCCAGATGCGGCTGAACACCTCTTCGTCATCGAGTCTGCGAAAGTCCAGCCAATAAATGTAATCAAACAAAATAGCGAGGCCACTCACTGGGCATTCACAGTTGACTCCCCCCACCCTACCGATGCCAACCAACATAAACAATGGATCACCGCGGCTGAAGCCACCGTATGGTACCATGCAGAAATAGCCACTGGGGAACTCTGCAACCCCCGCAACACCTGTAAATGCTGCAAAGGCAAGGACCATGTCAGCGCACGGACAGTTATCTGGCCGGCCCGGACCCCTATCCAGATAGGTTGAGTACCCATAAGCCGATATCTGCGTGTGATTTGCCATAGTTAGAACGCAGGCTGTATTCAATGCGCTATTTCCGCTATCGTGTCATCCCTCACCCATTATCACCCCCTTATCCACATGATCTATTCTCCTATCTCATGTCGCTTCTCTATCGGCTACCATGTGTTCCCAATGTAGCCGCGCTCTTATGAGTTGCGGAACTCATGTATATAAGGCCTTATCGCCAGCTGGGTTGGCCCCCCAGCTTTTACAACGACTAGTTTCCTGGGGAGATTCTTACGTGTGAACTGACGTGCGGACTCTGACAGACCACTCAACCTACCAATGCCCACTTACCAAACTACCGTTCTGGACCGAAATCTACCCCCAAAAAAACTTCACTGGAATGAGCACCGTCAGTAACAACCCTATAGCAGAAGGAAATCAATACGCAAAGCAAGAAAATGTGGTGTCGCATGCTGGACTGAGCTGCAATGGAGGAAGACCCAACAGAGGCTCCATGAGATCTGCATGAGGACCCGCAAGAGGCAACGCCTACTCCAGAGGAAGAGGAGCCCACCAACCTCTACCACAAACCTAAAAAATCCCTGTACTTAACTAGTAACCCAATCAAATCTACTTACGTGCCTGGTGGGCCGTAAATGCTACCCTACGGACTTAGTCAAGTCCCTAAAAACTGACAACCCTTACATGAACTCACAGCCCAACTCTAAGCTGCCACCGGTCCCACAAACCCAATCTAACCACATGGGAAGAGTGGTACCGCCGGAACCACCTGGTAGTGCTGGCCAGCATACCAGCCCAAAACTGTTAGGCCCTTCCCCACTTGAGCCAGGAGATGGGGATGTCGCAAAAGCAATCCTGCCTCACCCCTGTGCCTTGTCCATGGTGGGTGCATGGTTGAGTAAAACACGAGCTGTGGAAAACCCTGCTTGCACCAAGCTGGCCAAACACACTACAATAATGCAAAAAAACCCGAAAAATACAAAACACATACCCCTAAGACTCAGAGGTGGGAACAACAACCCCACTAAGGGTGGCTGCCTTAAACTTGGTGCCCTAAACCTGAAAGGAGCAAATGGCCAACAAACTCGGCACAAGTGGGATACAATAACAAATAAAATGAAAAAAGAGAAAATAGCGATAATGTGCGCCTCTGAAACCCACTCCGACCTCACCTTGGAAAACGCCCTCAATGACAAATACACACACACCTTCCACCTCCAACACTCCTATGACCCAAACCATACAAGAGCGGGAGGAGTATCTATAATAACTAATAAAAGCATAATAAAAAACCCACCCCTCCAAACGAAGAACCTCATCCCCGGGCGCGCAACCCTAGCAACCTATGAATGGCTGCCAGGTGAAGAACTGACCATAATTGCCATATAGGCCCCAAATACAACTCATACTGGCAATGAGAACCAAGAATTCTGGGACACGCTCCTCAACGCGACAACAAACACCAGTGTCAAAAACCCGGATCGTAGGGGTAAATGCGTGAGTCCGAATGCAGGTGGGGCTCAACTAGAGGGGGGTCCGAGAGCTCCGGTAGTGAACCGAAGCTTCTCAGGGAGCCCGGTTCTGCTGGGTGGTACAAGAGGCTCTAAGAAGGACACAGCCTCAGTGACTCGGAGGGAGCGCTGTGCCTCTGTTACGTCTCAGTTAGTCCTTGTATTTCTTATGTCTGAGGTATCTTGTAGAATAGGAACGGGATTCACTCAGAGGGACTTTGGGTGGCATTTTAGTCGAGATTAGAACTGAGGAACTACAGGTTCTAATCTACGGGTATTTATAAAGGAGAATGGGAAGGACTTAGTCAAAGTCCGAAATGACAAATGGGACAACACCGAAAGGTACCAAATGATACTGAGAGGTACCGAAAGGTCCTGAATGATATCTTTAATGGGGAACCGAGGTGTCGGACCAAGGAGGGCGGAGTAAGAGGCCGGAAAATGAATGGGAACGAGAAATGGGTAAGGGGGGGTTAGCTGACTGAATGATAAGAAGAAGATAGTCGTGCTAAGAATGGAAGGTGACTAATAAGTGATGACGTGGGTGAGATCACCGGGGGATGCGGGTAACTCCGAAAGCGGGGTTGCATATCCGAAGGATGTTGGGTGACTCAAATAAATGAAATGGGTAGAGGAATGATTTAAGGGTATGTCACGGGAAGTTGGAGGTCTGTCGGGATATCGGAGCGAATCCGGGGTCTCCAAATGTTCCGACTCGGGACCGAGCTTCTGGGATGGGAGTGGCCAAGGTTCAGTGTGCCGCAACCAGACCGGAGCTGAGACAATCAGGAGGGAAGGTGACTTGGGGAGTGGGGAGGCATGGTGTAGGGGATGGTGAAGTTGTTAGGAAGGTGTGGTGAGGTGGGAGTGCGCAGGGTCGGGATTCCGGGATATGACAACCAGAATAAGACACCATCTTAGGCGATTTCAATATAGTGGAAGAAGCATTAGATCGCCTCCCCCAACGCACCGATGCACCGAATGCAGTCAGTGCCCTCCAGAACCTCCTAACGCTACACAACCTGCAAGATGGCTGGAGAAAAACTAACCCTGCTCCAACCAGAAACTACACTTTTGGACTCAACATGGGTTCCCATATGTCCAGAATCGACAGAATATATGCCTCGGAAAACCTAATACACAAAACCTACGCCTGGGAAATAAACGACTCCGAAATCCCCACCACCGACCACCAACTGATACTCACCGAAATCTACGACAACGATGCCCCAACAATCGGCAGAGGGCGATGGGCAATGCCCTTATACCTAGTGAATGATAAACCCTTCCTTGAAGAAATAGAATCACTAGGAAGAAACTCTGTAAGCAAAATGAAGACACTCCAACTTGAACAAAAAGAAGGCATACAGGAAGATTTCCAAGCCTTCATCCAATCCACCACAACCATCGCAAAAAAACTAGAAAAAATAAAATCAGGAAAAATGAACTCATCGATACAAAAACTCACTAGAAGAAGAAATAAAATCATAAAAAACCTAAACCCAAATGACCACGATTCAGAAAACAACGCACTCAACAAATCCGAGCCCTATCAGAAAAAATAAAAGAAATAGAAAGAATCAGACACGAGAAAACTAAATCAAATGCAAAAACGAACAGAAGAATACTAGCTGAAACGATAAACAAATACTGGTGCAACTGGGGAAAAACAAGAAAACCCAGAGCCACAATAACGGAACTTAGGCTCCAAAATAACCCCAACCCACCAATGTACACCTCTAACTCCTCAGAAATGGCTGACATAGCCGCAACCCACTTTGACTCTGTCCAGGATGTAGACCTAGACATCCCACCAGACCTAAGAGAGATCAACACACAAACAATGCTACAAAACATAATGAAACTCACGGACCAAGAGAGTATTCCCCTTAAAAAGAAAACCGACCACATCGAAATAAAAACCACCCTAAAACAATCACCCAATGGTAAAGCCCCTGGAATAAACGGAATACCCACAGAACTCTACAAGAAACTAGATGCCAGATGGTCATCGAAAGACCCACAAGACATGTTATAAAAATGGGGCCTAATTGGCCCATTTCTATAGCGTCCGGGTGCAGGAGGGGGCCGTGACATTGAGAAGATGTTACAATTAATGTAACAGATGTTGTAACAGTGGGGTTTACAATAACATGGACATCGGGTGTTTTGGGTGATAATAGTTGGTTAGGTTGTTATTATTTACATGTCACGTGATATTGTACTGCATAGAGCCCATAAGAGGCTAAAAATGGGAAAATCCCATTTCTATAACAAGACAATAAGAAACTCAACATAACGGAAATGCTCCAACTACTCACCAACGACATCGAGGTGAATGGAGTCACAGAACCAGCCCTCCTAACCAGCTGGATCTGCCCAATCTATAAGAAAAAAGATAAGAGACTGATCACCAACTATCACCCAGTCACCGTCCTAAACGCTGAATACAAAATAATAACTACAGCGCTCATGAATAAACTCCAACCTATTGCCCCAAAACTGATCAATAAATGTCAAGCAGCCTTTATTAAGAACCGTAGCATCTTTGACCAAATTGACCTCGTAAACAGAATGATTGAGTTATGTGAGATAACCGGCCAAGATGGCACAATCATAGCCCTTGACCAAGAGAAAGCCTATGATAGAATAAGACCTGACTACCTCTGGAGGACCCTACGATCAATGATCATACCCGAAAACCTTATCAACACAATAAGAGCCCTTTATACCAATGCCAAGACCAGAGTCATAGTGAATGGGGAAATAAGCCGCGAGTTCACAGCTAGAAGAGGGGTCCGCCAAGGAGACCCCCTCTCCTGCCTCCTGTTCAACATGGCGATAGAACCGATGTCAATAGCACCCAAAGAGCTATCCTCTCACTATTTGCGGACGATGCAGCAGTATTCATGTCCAAAAATGACAGCCTCAATAACCTCTTCACCATACTACAAACATGGTGTGCCGCCTCAGGTGCAAAATTCAACAAAGAAAAGTCAATAATAATCCCAGTTGGAACCCAAGAATACAGAAATGAGCCTACAAACACTCGACTCCTGAATAGTAACAGCACCGAAAGAGTCGATGACTCAATCCAAATCATTAAAGACAGCGAAACAACACGGTACCTCGGAGCCCAATGTGGAAACAGAACTCAAAAAATTGAACCATGGCCAAACATCATAGGAAAAATAAAAACCCAACTAAACACATGGAAAAAGTCCTACCCCACCCTAGAAGGAAGAAAACTAATAATCCAAATGGTAATAGGTGGCATGACCCAATTCCATACTGTTGCCCAAGGAATGCCGAAACAAATAGAAAAGGAACTAAACAAAATTTCACGAGAATTCCTATGGGATTCAGAAGCCCCCCCAGCGATAAACTCAGACACTATGAGCGACCCCATTGAGGAAGGTGGTAGAAACATACTTAACCTAACCCTACACAATGAAGCAATAAATATTATGAAACTGAAAAAAATCC